CATCAGGGTAGGTAATCCACCTCCCCAAGAGGCGGTAGCACTGGTCTACTACACTGGGAGTTAGGTTGGTATAGAGATCTCTCAGGAGTATGGATTTTTCACACACCTCAGAGACATAGCTATACTTAAGTAGGGGACAGGTTTTTCAGAAGCTGTGAAAACCAGAGCTCAGCCTAGGGGATCAATCGGAGTATTATACACGACCTTGCCCGGGGGGGAAAGGGCATGTTTGACAGCGGAGAGACGGCCTGCTTTTCCCGGCTCTTAGCTTATCGGGGGCAGGGATAGCTCAGTGGTTTGCACATTGGCCTGCTAAACCCAGGGTTAAGTTCAATCCTTGAGGGGGCCACTTAGGGATCTGGGGCAAAATCAGTACTTGGTCCTGCTAGTGAAGGTCCCTTCCAGTTCTAGGAGATAGGATATCTCCATTAATTTAGGAGGGAGGGATAGCTCAGTGGCTTGAGCATTGGCCTGCTAAACCCAGGGTTGTGAGTTCAATCCTTGAGGGGGCCATTTAGGGATCTGGGACAAAAATCTGTCTGGGGATTGGTCCTGCTTTGAGCAGGGGGTTGGACTGATGACCTCCTGACCATCCAACCCTGATATTCTATGATTCTATGAAATTCCTAGTGTAGACCAGGCCCCAGTGTAACATCATTGACTCCAGTTGCTTCTGATTTACTCTCATAACTGAGAAGAGAATCACAGGCCTGTTGTATTCCACCATAATAGCAGTGTATTAGGAATACTAAATTTTCTTTGATAAAGTATAGGTATTTTTTAATGGATTGAGGTAGTCGGAAAGAACCAAACAAAAATAAGTGCAATCTCCAACACTTACTTTTTGTGATTCATTCTGCAGCGCTGGATTTTCACCAGATGCAATTTTGTGTTTAACTTGCTAAAAATATCAGAGGGATTTGATGTCATCTTCTTAGTACAGCAGTATCAAAACTTCCTAAAGTCTTTGGGATACTATGTACAGTACGGTTTGAAAATGCACCTATGAGAACAACTGCCATGACCCTTTTCCCCTGCCTGTTCCCCCTCTGCTTGGGGTAGCGGGGGGGGGGGGTGGCATAAGAGCTGCTGAGTCAACACTAACACTTGAGGAGCCCTCCCTTAGGTAGGGGGAATGTTGGGGACCAAATCTCCCAGCTTTCTAACTGCTTTGCACTGCTAGAGTAGGGCCCAGAGTCAGGGCCATTCTTTCTAGTAGTTTTCAATGTCACTTTTGAACCCTACTTGGTACATACCCTTGCCCTGGGAAGTAAGATCTCACAAATATTGTAGCTGTGAACATAACCTGTAAAACACATTTATGGCTGCAACATTGTCCATGCACGTATTTGTAGACTTGGCAGAATTTGATATGTTTTTTATATTTTTGACAGATATTGATCCTTTCAAAGCATATATTTCTATCTATTTTAAATTTTCATTGTTGTGGGAAATTGGGCGGGGGGGTCAGACATTTATTTAAGAACAATAGACATTGAGATTCAAAAAGTAAAGCTTTATAAATCATTAAAACACAAATTGTCAGTATCCCATGTCAAAATATACAAAGTAAATAGCCTAACATTGACAAACAGTACATGTTTTTACTATTAATTCACTAGTCCATTTGTAACCAACCTAATTCAGAAGTCTAAATCACTGGAATGCCTTACTTTGTCTGTCTATAAATTTCAATTGTTATCTTTGGAAATACTGTTTTGGGCAGTTTGTGTGTGTGGTGAAATTGACATTTTCCAAATTTACTGATTAAAAATTCTAATCATTCCAAGCCTACCTATATATGTTTGTGAGAGTGACTTTTGTAGTGTTACCAGAAGTCCGATTTTGCATCAGTAAAACTGCTTCTTCCTTGCTAACTTTTATGCCCTTTTTGGTGAAAGTGTTCTGTGCATTGCCTTCATTCCTTCAGGGCCTGGGATGGATCTAGTCAACCCCCCTGCGTCTGCTTGTTGTGCTTCATGTGCTAGCTGTGGCTCCCCTCCCTGTCTGGTGGCTGTATTGTTTTGGGGTAGGGATTTTAACGTTCAGCGCCCCGTCCTTTCTCCTCCCCCTCACAGACAGACCTCCTTGATTCACTCACTGTCTTTGGAAACACCGGGTCTCTTGCTGCTCAATGCCCTGAGCATGGGAGGGTTACTAGTTCCCATTCTACAGCAGCATAGCTGGTTCCTGGATCCTTTCGTAGAAAATCTGTGACATTTGAACTCCCACTCCCCTTGCCCAGCAGTAGCTGCCCTGTTTCCGCCAGGAGCGAACCCAAGGGAAACTCCTCCTCAGCTCTCATAGTAAGGGGTGGAATTTATTCCTGGTTTGGAGCTATAGACTTGTGAGTTTACTAAATCTCCCGAATAACTTTGTGCCCCACCCCCAACCTCCATAAAATGAAATAACTAAATGTGGTCTCTCCTTTTTTTGCAAAGTGAGAGGAAGAAGGAAATTGAGTGATGCCCTTTTAACGTATGCATCAAAAATTAATTTTGTTTAGGAAACCTTTTTCTATAAGACCTCTGGTTTCAGCAGAATGTCATTCCTTTAAATTGATTCAATGTAAATGATCTGTATGGTATTAAGAATCTACAGCGGGAACACAACAGTGAGGAGGTGAGAGTTTCAGGCAGCATTCCCCCGGTTATTTAATATGGACAGTAATTTACTGAACCAACTCGGGATTGGAGTGCTCAGCTAAGGATCTTTCTGGTGAGATTTTTGGAAAAGTATAGTCCATTTCTATAAGCAAAATCGCATTTGCCCTATAATGGGGCCAAATTTATCTTCCTGAATTTAACTGTTTATATAAGTTGTACACAGATTGATCGTTTTACTTGATGTACTGCTTACAGAATTATAAATGTAAGTGAGCTCTTACTGTGTTGATGGCTTTGGAGAGAAATGTATGTGGTTCTTTTGCAGGTAATAAAATGGGAAAATCCAATTTGCAATTGCAGAATAAGCCTCTGAGTGATGTATGATCTTCATAGTAGCATTGGTCAGAGGGTTACTGGTAATCACAGTGCTGACTTGCTTCCCTAGTGGCCTGCGTCTTTAAACTGAATAGTGAACAGTGTGAATCTGTGTCTTTGAGCCAGCCAGCATAGATTCTGTCTTATTAGGTCCTCTTTGTCACAGTGCTTAATCCTGATGCCTGATCCTTGTTAGAACACACATGCTGCTGAGTCCTCCTAATAAAGGAGATGGGTGTGAGGCTCCTCACTAGAAGCACTGAAGCGTAAGGCAGTTAGGGCAATTGCTGCCTGACTGACAGAGGGGTGAAATGCTTCCTGCAGGTTATTACTTAAAAACAGAACAGACCTCAGACAGCTGACAGATGAGCTTTGCTGAGGTAATGGTAACTTGTTGATAGGCCAATATGAGACAAGTGTCATCTTTTCACACAGTATAATGGTCTAGCTTCACTCTAATTATGATAACCCTTTTTCACAGAGAGAGCTGCATTAAGGATTAAACATAATGCAGAGCATGGTGAGGTTTTAACTGAGCCAGTCAAGAGCCAGCTTGCAGATGCTATTACATCCATACGTACGCATTCACTCGAGATATACAAATGGCATTAATTTGAAAAATAAGCACATATTTACTTCATATAGAGGTAACAGCTTGGTTAGGCTGGCCTTCCAGACTTGATGCTTAATTTTTAGCTACATAGTTTGGTTAGATGAAAAATGCTATTTTTATTATTTCCCCACTTCATCTACAACAGTTTTTAACTTTCTCACAGCTGTTTTTATATTCCCTGATCATGACATCCATAACGTTACAAAATGTTATTGCAATTTTAAATGTATGTGTGAACAGTTAATTTAGAGAATGCAGATAATGATTTGTATAGCTAGGACAATGACTCAGTATAAAACTGGAGTATAGCATAATGTTTCCTTATCATGAGGAATCTCAGTTGGGCGTGTACTTCTCTACCTTTCTGCAGGGAGAACTTAAGAAAAGACAAATCAATGACACTTCTAATAAATCTCAAGTCTTGTTATCAAAATAGCTAAATTGGCAGGTTATAGGTATGAATTTCTGTATTCTGGACTGATAGCTATAACCAACATAAACTGTAGGATGTTGCACAAGCTAAAGTATTGGAAAAACACCAGCTGGGGATTTTTCATTAGACTTGGGCTTGTGGTTGTGATATCGGAAATAACCTGCACCATTGAGCCCTACCTATGGAAAAAAGTGTTGCCATTGTTCATTCCTGCTAAGCAATGTGACCAGGAATACTACTGTGGAGTTGTCCTTCAAGGTCAAGGTTATTTTTAATGGTATAAATTAGCAGGTCCTTTTATGCCCCCAAATAGTTAGTGTCATCTGGAAAAATAAGTACTAAATTGGGAATCGGGAAGCCTCAAGTTCTAATCTCACACCTATTGTAGTACACCTCTACCTCGATAGAACGCTGTCCTCGGGAGCCAAAAAATCTTAACGTGTTATACGTGAAACTGCATTATATCGAACTTGCCTTGATTCCCCCCTCCCCCCCCCGGAGCACTGATTTACCGCGTTATATCCGAATTTGTGTTATATCGGGTCGCGTTATATCGGGGTAGAGGTGTAGTAGTGCTAAATGAGTGAAATTTATATCCTGTACAGAAGGCCAGCTCAGGGCCTATGCATCATTAAGTCCCGTTTTTAAGACATATTTTGATGAATAAATGTGAAATATGTTGAAATATAGTAGGATTAAATTTAAAATTCATTGGGCCAAATTCATCCTGACTGTGAGTACTGCAACACCAATGAAGTAAATAGGGTGGAATTTGGCTCTACATCCATATTATATAGTATGTCAGGAGCTAATATGCCCACCTCTTCCTCATACTAAGCCTGAAAACATTGGCGTTTTGCTTTAACTGGGTAGTCAGACTCTTTCAAAGAATGAAAATAATTTTATACAGTGAGTAATTTGTCTAGGATAAGAGATCTCCTTTTCACATGCCCTTTTGTTTAATCCCTTTCAGGTAATTTGGATTTGACTGGTCAAAAGCAAGTCTTCAAAGCAGAGAATAATCCCTGGGTTACCCCTATAGCAGATCAGTTCCAGCTGGGAGTGTCTCATGTTTTTGAATATATTCGTTCAGAAACATATAAGTAGTAAGTATTGATCTTTATTGTATTATGTTATACCTTTTACTATGGAGCATTTGACAAAGTCCTTGCAGCTTGATTGCACACCAAGCATGGATACCAAGAAAATAGAAAATTTTTGCTATGTTACTTACTAAATAATTTCCTGTTAAGGTAAGTGCATGTAAATGTGTATAATACGTCATTGCTCCATAAATTTCAAAACAAGTCCAATAATGGTTTTTAGCGGTTTCACAGCCTACACAATAGCTAGATTTTAATTAAAAATATGCAGCTCTATACACACATCACTGTAAATTGCTAAATGTTTACTTTCTTGTGGGTCAATTTTCTGAATAAAAAAGTATGGCTTAGCCATATTAGGAAAATACATTATCCATACGTATAATGGGCAGCAGGTATTTAACAAATAAAAGGAAGTTCTTCACACAGCGCACAGTCAACCTGTGGAACTCCTTGCCTGAGGAGGTTGTGAAGGCTAGGACTATAACAGGGTTTAAAAGAGGACTAGATAAATTCATGGAGGCTAAGTCCATTAATGGCTATTAGCCAGGATGGGTAAGGAATGGTGTCCCTAGCCTCTGTTTGTCAGAGGGTGGAGATGGATAGCAGGAGAGAGATCACTTGATCATTACCTGTTAGGTTCACTCCCTCTGGGGCACCTGGTGCTGGCTGCTGTCGGCAGACAGGATGCTGGGCTGGATGGACCCTTGGTCTGACTCAGTATGGCCATTCTTATGTTCTTGTATGACACTGTCCCTGCTTTTGGTGTTCAATTTATAAACTTCATTGAGGAAAGGTGGTAGGCTTACAAGAGCAGGGCTTGGCAAGTCACGTTAGGAGTAATACTTTTAGGGATGTGCCATAGCGGTTTACAAATTGAAACAGGTATTTGTTGAAAATAGTTTCACCTGGTAGTGGTGATCACACATTGAGATTAGCTGTGAAGGGAACGGATTTGAATGATAAATGTTTTTGTTTAGGAAAGAGTTTCTGTGATCGGTCAGTGGGTTGAAAGATGTTCTTCTTGTTGAAGACTTTTTTATGTTGCCAGTCCACAGTTGCTTTAGAACAATAAGCAGGAGAGTTACATCAGGCTTTAACTCTGACAACTAATTTTAGAAATATTAAAATAATGCAGCAAAAACTGCAATCTGTACACTAAAATCAATATTTTGTTCCAAATATTGAAACTGAGGGAAACTCTATAACTTGTGGTGCGTTTTTTCCATAAAAATATGTAAATGCCTCTCTGACAACTTTTATCAGCAACCAGTGAAAACAAATCCACAAAAAAGCAAAGTTTTACAGGTGGTGATAAAGGGTATACAGAGTATAGGACTGACAAGTACAGCTTCTGCATGGAATTTTATAAATGATCCAGCAGTGACTTCTATAGACTCATGCTGAACTGTCACGTAGAGAATTTTAGCTGAATAGGGTCACAGGTGGGAGTGTGTTTTTATAAAATCCTGTGTGCCAGCAGAGTGGTCTCTATATGGTAATATATTTGTTAATGTGTTTTTGCTATCTCTGGTGGTAATTTTATATTTCTGTTCAGTGAGCAACATAGGTAAGGAATTCTTAATGAAATACTAACAAAAACATTCATGGATGTTTGGAGGACTATTGTGGAGTTCCAAGGACCTAATTAAAGCTTTCATATGTTTACTCTACCATGAGACGTTAAACAGAGGCGAGTTCCTTTCAGAATTATGTGCACATTTTTGTCAGTTACTATTGTGGTGTTGCAATAAAGGGAGAATTCAGAGAAACAATGACATTAGAATTGTGTAGACATTAAACTGCTCCTGCACTGGTATGAAACCGTTCTTAATGTAACCAAAATACATAACCACAAAATATACGCACATGCAAATAAACAGAAAAAATGTTTCTTTAAACTTTCAGTGTATAAATGAATGATTTTTGGACCATGTGTTGAGAATATTGGCTATACTTTTGTTAGAACACCTGGAATAATGAGACTGCCCAGACTCATGGGGTGGGTGGAGGGAAAAGAGATTCTGTTCTCCCCTCTCCCAACCTGTTTCCTTTAGATATGACCTGCTGCAGACATATTTTTTGGCTTGCATTTGATTTTGTGCGGTGTAATTTGTAAGAGGTGGCACAGTCAGGTTAACAGGTCAAGTGACATTTTATATCCTAAAGCAAACTAACTATGAACGTAAAAGATGTGAGAACTAATTTCTTCCTGATGATTTTTCTCTTCTGTCTAATCGTAGGCTTTTGCTTTTCCTCCTCCTCCAACTTTTTTTTCCCTTTCACAGCAATATTCAAGGTACTGTACCTTTTTTCTCCCCCTCATTAAGCAAATCACCAGGCTGAGAAGTAGGTGTAGTAATTTCCTCCATAAGATGTCTGTAACCGTATGCAAAATTGAACTCTTTGATTCCACTGGATCATTCAACCAAGAGAAAACTTTAAAAATTACCTTACAGTATTTGATAGACCCAGACAGCTTAACTCTTACACTGAGACAAAGCATCATTGTTAAATGGGTGATTTGCTACAAAAGAAGTTATTCTGTTTAGATAATGTCACTCATAATTTTGAGGAAGGAGAAGAAATTGTGTGTATTAGCAGCCTGAAATCTGTATGGAGCTGGGGATCTGGCATTTTCTGGCCCTGGTTCTGCCTGAGTCATCGCTGGACGCATCAAGACAAGATGGCTGGGACTCCCACAATATAGGTAAAGCTTAAAGCCCAGGGTTGGTGCTTCTCCGAGTCGGAGAGGTGCAGGGGAACCTGGTTGGCCTGCATGAGCTCTGATGCCAAGGAAGACCCATGCGCCTGGGGTGTCAGAGGCCTGGGGGATGGCAGCTTCTGGAAAATTGAGGTACGCTCAGGATGCTGCTCTGCAAGGTGATCCTGGATTTTGATGCACAGTTCAATCAGGCTGTCCAAACTGGATGGAAGCTCCACCCGGGAAAGCTCCTCCTTCACCTCCTCATTTAACCCCAGGTGGAAATGGTGGTGCTGTGCCACGTCATTCCACCTATCGTCAAAAACCACAAGACAAAATTCACCAGTGTACTTTGCTACAGGCCAGCCTCCTGCCATAAGGCCTAAAGGGTTGTCTTGTTGGTCCGCACCCTTTGGGGTCGCCAAAGATGATGAACATAGCTTGAATGAATTCCTCTAATTGTTGCAAGAGGAGGTTGGACTGTTCCAGGAGTGGGGAAGACCAGGCCAAGGCTCCCCCAGTCAGCAAATTTAAGATGAGCCCCACACAGGTCTGGTCTGTGGGAAATGGTCGGGGGGCATAGGAGGAACAGGAGCTGACATTAGTGCAGGAATCCCCAAAACTTGTCCCAATCTCCATCAGATTTGTTGGGCAGTAGAATCTTCAGCTCTGGGAGGGGTGGAGATGGAGAAGCCAGCAGAGCAATCTGTGCCTAAAGGGCCACAGTCTGTGATTACAGGGTGGTTACTTGCGACTGCAGGTTCTGGATGGCATCCGCCAGTTCCGCTGGGGCCTTAGTAGGGTCAGTGCTAGCGCTGAGAGCCGCTGGCCCCAATTAGAGGGCTTCTCAATATGTCAACTGACCAGAATGAAGGCAGTCTAGCCTAGTGGCTGGAGCGGACAGAAGGCCTAGTGGTCAGAGTCATAGTCAGTTGTTGGAAGCCAAAGCCAAGGGTCAAACCAGAAGGCAGAAACTGGGTACCAGAACCAGGTTTTGAGCCAGCATCCGTAATCAGGAGTCAAGGCCCAGGGTCAAACCGGAGGTCAGAAACTGGAGCAAGCAGGGTAGCAGGCCAGGAGGGTTTCAAGGCAGGGGCAGGACAGAGGCAAGGCTAGAGCAGCAGGAACAAGGTAATGCAGGAGCAGGCACAGTGGCTTTTATGAGCTTTGAGAAGACAGTGAGCTGCTGCTGGTTTGAGTTGACCTCTGCAGTCAGTCAAGTTGCATAGCAAAGAGCCAGCCTGCTAACCTCTGCAGCCAGTCAGGTTGCGCGGCTAATCAGGCAGCCTGCTGCAGGCCAGTTGTGTTGATGAGTCTTCCTGGAGACTAGTCTGCTGCAGGCCCTGATTCCTCACGGCTACCAGCCATTTTAAAGCAAACTTTTTTTTAGTGTTAATTATATCTTTCATCCTTTCCGTAGTTACTTGCCCTGTTACTACCTGACCGGTAAGGCTAATGCATCTGAAGAATGTATGTGCCTATGGTTAAAATGTCTATCCACATACCTACCTATATGCACATTTTTAATACTTACTTCAAGATGGTATCTAGGCACGAAATACAAAATTAAGAATCATATTATTTTTGTCCAAATAGGACCCTGTTAGCCACCACTACTCAATTCAGCTGCTCTTTTTAGTAGGGTCTTTCATCTCCTTTAATTTTCTTACACTTCATGAGAAATGATACTAGGTAATGCTTCAGCCCTCATTATTGAAGGAAGAGTTGTGCTAACAGGTGAGTAATATGTCATGCTCTGGTCAATTTCTAGCAAATGCAGTGAGCCCATTGAGCACAGCTCTCTTTGTGGGTCACAGATGGAAATATGGTCACTAAGCCAAGCCCACAGCTTAATAAGGGCTATAAAGATTAAGGACCAGGCAAATGATAGTTTTTTGAAAGTACAGGTAATGGCTGAATTTGGGCACTGATTCTGTTTATCCTGTGCTTGCAATTAAACTACCACATATGGTCTCATGTGAGTACCTGAGAAGTAGCTGAAAAACTTTTTCTAAGCTGTAATGGGTAATGGCAGCCTCGTTGCTTTGAAGGATTTAATTAAATGTTTTATTTTTTATTCATGTCTCTAGTCAACGTTCAAAGTGACCTTTGTGTTGTAAGCACATTCTCACAGGATTTTATGTCTAGAATAGTGACAAAGAGATGATGGATTGTATGATTTAGTGGTTATAATATACTGGGGCAAGTACAGACAGTCATAAATGTTTGAAACACAACAGTGAATGAAACTCTTTTGAAGAATTAAAAGCCTCTGATGCAAGTCAGTAGTAGATTACCAC